GTCGAGGCCGCGGTGGCCAGGAGTGGCCACTGCACTCCAGTCTGGGCAACAGAGTGAGACTCCAACTCAAAAAAACAAAAAGAAAAACAACAAAAAAAGCCTGGGTGCAGTAGCTCATACCTGTAATCCCAGCACTTTGGGAGGCTGAGATGAAAGGATTGCCTGAGTCCAGGGGTTTGAAACCAGCCTAGGCAACTTGGCAAGACCTCATCTCTACAATAAATGAAGAAACAAATTAGCCAGGCATGGTGGTGCACACCTGTAATTCCAGCTACTTGGAAAGCTGAGGCAGAAGAATCACCTGAGCCCAGCAGGTCGAGGCTGCGGTGGCTGTGAGTGTGCCACTGCACTCCAGCCTGGGCAACAGAGTGAGACTCCAACTCAAAAAAAAAAAAGGAGTTAAGCATTCCTTAATGCGTGAAGCAGGGAGGGTGGAGATGTTTTGCCCCATTTTCATTGCCACTATCTGCTCCATCACAGTGGATCCGAGAAGTGACAGGCTATGTCCTGGTGGCCATGAACGAATTCTCCACGCTACCGTTGCCCAACCTCCGCGTGGTGCGGGGAACCCAGGTCTATGACGGGAAGTTCGCCATCTTCGTCTTGTTGAACTACAACACTAACTCCAGCCACGCGCTGCGCCAGCTGCGTTTCACTCAGCTCACTGGTCAGTCCTTGGGGGCTCCTGTGTCCTTGCCCTCAGCCTGCCTAATGGCAGGCACACCTTGCTCATGACCCGAGACTGGCTGCTCCCTCTAAGTGCCACTCCCCAGGTGGCCACCACCATGACCACTGTAGTCTAAAGGTCCATCACTCCCCAGACAATAGAGGGCCCCAGTGGGGAGCTGGGGGTGTCTGCTCCAGGAAGTGGGTCCTTATGTCCTAGTGGGGCTGGCATTGGAGCTGCATCTGTTGTTACCCATTTCTCTAACTTCAAAGCACAGTGTACTTTGAAGTCCCTCCTTTCCAGGGAATCCTACCTTTATTTCCTCCCCGAATCCCACACGCTGGAGGAATATAGGGGTTAAATGCCACTGGGTCACCTTCTACTTCTCTCTGCCTCAGGCAGTTGGAAAACACACAGGTAGGGCTGGAGGGGAGGGGGTGTTGAGTCAGAGATCTCTCTTCCCACCCCTCCCCCACCGGCTAAACCGGATCTGGACAGGTGTCTGAGAAGGCAGGACACCTTTTGGCCAACTCCTCCTCTTATAAGGCAAGCCTTCTCCTCAGCTTGGATTTAATTGGACCTATCTATGTGCCCCGTCTCCCCTGCTCCTGCGTCTCCAGTGTCCTTTCGAACCGTGGGGAGGTGGGGAAGAGGAGTTTTGCTGTAGCCCTTACTGTCACTTCTCTTCCCTACCTCAGAGATTCTGTCAGGGGGCGTTTATATTGAGAAGAACGAAAAACTTTGTCACATGGACACAATTGACTGGAGGGACATCGTGAGGGACCGAGAAGCTGAGATAGTGGTGAAGAACAATGGCAAAAGCTGTGAGTGGCCACGATCATGCCTGCTTCCCTGCCCCACCAAACCCTTCCCGTCACCATGATGTCTTTGATCTGAACAAACACCTCAGGCCCCAGACCCAAGCGCCTGCCAGGAGGGACCAGGCAGGTCTCCTCAAATTCAAACCACAGAGAAAAGTATATCAAGAAGAGGGGCAGCCAGGCATGGTGGCTCACGCCTGTAATTCCAGTATTTTGGGAGGCCAAGGCAAGAAGATTGTCTGAGTCCAGGGGTTCGAGACCAGCCTGGACAACTTGGTGAGATCTCTATGATAAATCATAAAATTAGCTAGGCATAGTGACGCATGCCTGTAGTTCCAGTTACTTGGAAGGCTGAGGCAGAAGGATTGCCTGAGCCCAGCAGGGTGAGGCTGCAGTGGCTGTGAGTGTGCCACAGCACGCCAGCCTGGGTGACAGAGTGAGACTGTCTCAAAAAAAGAAAAAAAAAGAAGAGAGGCAAAAAATCTCTGGGTACTCAGGCTAGGCACTTGTAGTCCCAGCTACTTGGGAGGCTGAGATGGGAGGATCACTTGAGCCCAGGAGTTCCAATCCAGGCTGGGCGACATAGTGAGACCCCATCTATTAAAGAAAAAAATAAAAGATCTCTGGGTACTAGGCAGGGAACCCAGACCTTTAGAGTCTGTTACTCTTTCTGCTACAAAATGCCCTCTTCTTAGAATCCCCCCTACCCCATAATCTGCTGCTTTGTCCATCCACACACATATATTTCTGCATATATTCAGTTTGCCAAGGAGGAACCAAGTTCCTGGGTTGGGACTGGGGTTGAAGTTGGCGTCTGCCCCAGTCCCTCCCCTTCAGCTGCCCAGTGGGTGGTGTGGAGGCGTGGCCCCACCCCTGTTGACAGGTTCATTTTGAGCCCAGCCCTGCTTTCCAAGGGCAGGGAGGGACACAGCCCTGGCTCTTCGCTTCCCGGGACTGAGGTGCCTGTGTGCTGACATCATACCCTGTTGATTCAAGCAAGCCTTTCTTGGCCTGACGGCCTTGTGTTGCCTTCCTTCCCATCCAGGTCCCCCCTGTCATGAGGACTGCAAGGGACGATGCTGGGGTCCTGGACCAGAAGACTGCCAGACATGTGGGTTTGGGCTTCCCTCCAAAAAACTTTAAGCTCTGTGTCAACACTGGGGGTAGGGACGGGCAGTGGCCTCCAAATTCAGTCCTAAAAGCCCTAACGGCCATGCTTTCCCTCCTTCCGTAGTGACCAAGACCATCTGTGCTCCTCAGTGTAATGGTCACTGCTTTGGGCCCAATCCCAACCAGTGCTGTCATGATGAGTGTGCAGGGGGCTGCTCAGGCCCGCAGGACACAGACTGCTTTGTAAGTACTCGCCCCTTGCCTAAGTTCTGAAACAGGGATGTGGGCTCTCGGGACATCTGTAACGTGAATTTGACGAGTCGCCTGTGTTCCCAGGCCTGCCGACACTTCAATGACAGCGGAGCCTGTGTACCCCGCTGTCCACAGCCTCTTGTCTACAACAAGCTAACTTTCCAGCTGGAGCCCAATCCCCACACCAAGTATCAATATGGAGGAGTTTGTGTAGCCAGCTGTCCCCGTAAGTGTCTGAGGGGAAGTGACAATGATGGTGGATCCAGGATTTTAGGCAACATTTGGGAGGCAAAGGGAACAGCAGGGTGATAAATTGGGAACTTAGAAGGTGAATCGGTCTGGCGCAGTAGCTCACGCCTGTAATCCCAGCAGTTTGGGAGGCTGAAGTGGGGGGGTCACTTGAGGCCAGGAGTTCAAGACCACCCTAGGCAACATGGTGAGACCTCATCTCTACAATAAATCAAAAAATCAGCCGGTCGTGGTAGCGCATGTCTGTAATTCTGGCTACTGGTAAGGCTGAGGCGGAAGGATCGCCGGGGCCCAGCAGGTCGAGGCTGCGGTGGCCGGGAGCGGCC